TTTACCAATCGACAGACTAGAAGGAATACTAGTGAAATAGCTATGAGTTTGGTAGACTGGAACAATGGAATGGGTAAAAAATAGAGCATAAAGTGGGTGAAATTGCCGATGCATTAATATCTCCATTGGGTTAAGTGTATTCTAACCTAACCACTCTTATCCAGCAAAATCATTAATCCGGCACCCTACAGGTCCTGATGATGCCAGATTGGTGATGGTCAACCTGTACTAGGTAGGCTTAATCAACTGGAAAATTAAAAAGGTGTGTACAAGAAGTAAACTGGCTTATTAAAAACACAGTCCAGTGGTAATATATTTTAATTCAGAACATTTAAATTACCTTACCTACTGCACCCATTTTGAGGTACATTGAACCATGATTGTTAGATCCAGTAATGGCAAACTTTGGAGGTTTAAAGCTCATTGTGTTGACAGATGCACGGTCTGATTCCTTGTCTACATCTGAGCAGCCAGACACACGAGAATCTCTGCGTGACATACGTCCTGGATACAATTTTCAAATCAGCACTTGTAAAAAGCTATACACAATTATCCATCAATATTTAATAATAAATCAAAGACTGTGTGTAATACATTATTAAAGAAAAAACAAAAAATTTTCCAGTAAAAATAAAAATATGATCTCTTTTTTAACTAGTTCCTATTAGAAGGGATGAAATGTTCCTAGGGTAAATTGACTAATACTATCTAGAAATTAATATTAAAACTGTGCACAGACCATGGCCCAGCAATATCATGCCCATTTTAGAATCTGAGCTTAATGAAGATTTGCACTGATAAAAAAATGGAGATACTTTCCCTGCACACCAAGGTATTGACTGACTATTATAACAAAGAAGATGGCTCCATTAAAGATGAAATATGGTCCTTTATATCCTTATACCAGTCCATATATGTTTTTCCAATTTTAGATATTTAAATTTTTACATATGGATTTAGATAATCTAATACAATATAGGCACTAAAGAAGTATGATACAAAAATACACAATTAGATATGTATACAGAGACATTTATGAATAAAATTATAAATACAGTAATATCTCACTTAATTGGAATGCATGCAGAGGGGTATGTCCAAATTTAGGAAATGCTTAATTACAGAAATCAGATTTTCCCTTTCCACTTAAATGAAACTATCCAAATATGTACCAGTGAACCACTTAAATAACTTGCCCCTATGAATGCTAAGAAGTGTTTGAGATGAGCAGGACTGCTGACTCTGGTCGTAACAGTGCAATTATAGTAATCTTGCAGCCCATAAACCAGCGAGTTATGCATACATTAGTGATCCCATTTGTGTGTTTTATCAATTATAAATTGAATGAAAAATTATTTAAGAAAAGCAACAATTAAGGAAGAATGAGATGGAGCAATTAATGGTATGTACTACTGATGGTATGACAATAACGCCCGTTACCACCAGCATTGGAAGATTCATCTGTAAAAACTTGCATTTAAGGTGTATATTTTTATACCTAGTTGGATGAATCTTACTGTAGCCAGCTGGCTGTGTGGCTTTTGCACTTGCTTGGTGTTTTAGGACTCGCTTGCCACGGGTTCAATCCCTGCCCGTTCCTTGGTTATCTGCAATCAAGTCATTACGATTTTGAGTAATAGTCTATTGCATTACTAATCACAATCTCTGGAACTGGTACAAGAAATCTAAACTTGCTGTATGATGATTTTATATATGTAAAAATAGACTTTTTAGATAAAGAGGTATTTGCCTCCATGATCTTTTCAAGCCTAACCAAATGTTTTGACCTCACCTTGTATCTTTATCTCTCTCATTCGCTTGGTCTCTTGCTCGCTCACCCACTCCCTCTCGCACGATTGCTCTCTAGCTCTCTCTCTCACCTGCCCTCTTGTTAGATCTCCTGCAGATAAATACAGGTGTCCCTTGCAATATATGGTAGGTGTCTTTAAGGCCCATGATGCATGTAGTAAAATTGCACAAAGAAAAACAAAGGATACACTAAAAAAATAATTTGATAAAAAGCAGATATTTTTATTTACAGAATTTAATCCTAGTTGCCAATTTTCAAGAAATTATATAAAAATATCTCTACTTAGTCTTTCAAAAAAATAAGAGCATACCATACATGCTCTAAAATTTCATATACAAAAAAGAAAATGCATCTGAGAAACTAAGATGACAAACACAATATAAAATTCAATCATTACCAACTTCAAAACCTAAAACAGTCCACATTATTTAGTTCATTTTTATAAATAAATATGGAAACTCCACAAAAGTACCAATTAATAACAAATGCATGATAAAAATAAAACTGAGAAAAAAGAGGTCTTCAGTGCTGCATAATAATACTGTAATTTAACAAACACAAACACACACACACACACATTTCGTGACATATTTCAGCCAAAAACTGAAAGTACTATACCATACATGCAACACCCAATCATTCTACAAAAACATCATCTGGTAAAATAATGAGAAAATGTGTTAAGCATCTGCTGTGATTTCCATAAAGCACCGCAAAGAGTATAGCATCTATAAATAATAAAATTTTGTCACTCAAAGCAAATTACCGGTGCAACTGAGTCAGTGTCTATAACCAAATTCACCTTGAAAAATCCAGATAAAAATAAGGATCTAGGAGCCATTATTACGAAACAACTGCCTTAGGAAAACCATATAAATGAAACTGAGAAACTCATACCCAGTACAGTACTACACAGGCAGGCTATAATTTAGCTTGCCTGTGTAGTACTGAAAAATCTGTTCACAATGCATGGTAGGCCAAAACTAATAAAAAGGTCATTAGAGGAAAGACTTCCCATATCCCCTTTGACCCTCCAAGAGCATCTATATTCATGTGCTACACAGTCGACTCTTGCCTAACAGCCAGCATGGGGGCAGGAGAAAGGGTTTAAGTTAAGTTAATTTCACATTAAGCAAATCCCCATCTTCCCATAAACATCTATGTTATCAATGTGGTTGCAATCTGGTATAATACTCTTTGTTTAATTTTGGCTTTTATTGATGAAATTGTAAATAATACTTATGCAAGATGGGTTCCCCCCCTCCTTCCCTCCCTCCCTCTCCCTCTCCCTCTCACTACATCCAACATAACACTGTTTACATAGTACAGCAGTAACCTTGACTTATGAGTGCCCCAACTTAAAAGTTTTCCAAGTTATGAACCGCCGCTCGGTCAATTTTTTGCTTTGATTGCAAGCCAAAATTTGGGTTATGAGAGAGCTTCAGATACGCTGCCACTAATTGGTGGTGTATCTGAAGTCAAATCCCACTCTGTACCCAGAGGAATGTCAGGTACTTCGTCCCATCCCACATGCTCTTCCAAGACATAACTGGAAGGATAATACTCCCACACTAATCCCAGATTGAAGTGAGGCACCTCGTCCCTTGTTTGGTTCTTGTATAAATCTGGGGAAGAGGTAACCTCCACTTCAACACTCAGAACTTTTTCAGAAACATTAAGGTGGGTGGAGTAGTGATGGTGGTGGGTGGAGTAGTGATGGTGGTGGGTGGAGTAGTGATGGTGGTGGGTGGAGTAGTGATGGTGGTGGGTGGAGTAGTGATGGTGGTGGGTGGAGTAGTGATGGTGGCGGGTGGAGTACTGATGGTGGCGGGTGGAGTAGTGATGGTGGCGGGTGGGAGTAGTGATAGTGGTGGGTGGAGTAGTGATAGTGGTGGGTGGAGTAGTGATAGTGGTGGGTGGAGTACTGATAGCGGTGGGTGGAGTACTGATAGCGGTGGGTGGAGTACTGATAGTGGCAGGTGGAGTACTGATGGTAGTGGGTGGAGTACTGATGGTGGTGGGTGGAGTACTGATGGTGGTGGGTGGAGTACTTATGGTGGTGGGTGGAGTACTTATGGTGGTGGGTGGAGTACTTATGGTGGTGGGTGGAGTACTGATAGTGGTGGGTGGAGTACTGATATTGGTGGGTGGAGTACTTATGGTGGTGAGTGGAGTAGTGAGGGTGGTGGATGGAGTAGTGATAATGGTGGGTGAAGTAGATATGGTGATGGGTGGACAGTGGCACACAGAGGTCTGGTGATGCCCAGGGCAAACTCCTTGATTGTACATGTATGCCCCAAATCATTATCTTATTTCCCTCTCTAATTGGATGCCCCCCCCCCCATTTGTAGTAGAGATGGTGGTGGGTGGAGTATACAATACATGTATTTCTTATTTATAAATACATTTTTCTTATTTAAAAGTCTGTAACAAAAAAATTGGGGTGGTTTTTTGGGAGCTGGAACAGATTAATAGCATTTCAATTAATTTCAATGAGGAAAATTTATTTGATATACGAGTAAATTGAATTACGAGCTCGGTCACAGAACAAATTAAACTCTTAAGTCAAGGTACAACTGTATGTCACTCCATAAGGGAGGCGAGTCAGGTGGCAGTGCTACTGGCGGTAATACAATACTCAACACACACTACTCGCAACACCACTCAACAATACTTGCCACAACATGACACCACCTATTAACACATGCCATAACACCACAGAACAATGCTCTCCACAATAAGCCACTGCCAAAGAACATTCGCCACATCACCACCCTTCCCTACTTACTACAACATGCCATTACACATATCCACTCCTTCACTACAGTTGACTAATTTCTGAGTATCTACTTCTAGGTGAACAGAGGCAGGTGTAAGGAGTCTTGCCTATACCGCTAGCCTTACTTTACATTTACTTCTCAAAGACAATAAAAATCGGAGAGGCACATTTCTCTCACCAGAGTATGCTGATACTCTGTAACTCAAGTAAATTACTACACATTACTATACCGCCTTTTATTTTTTTCACTCGGTGGTCATTTTCCATCAAGGCAGGGTAAGAAAAAAAAAAAGCCACAACCACCATTCACTCAACTATTGTCTTTCCAAAAGTGTGCTGACATCACAATCAGATACATGTATCAGATTACCCCTCTGAGTGCAACATTCCCACCCCTTCTTCTGAAAGCAGGCACTGTCCATCCCATTTGTAGGAAAAGTTCAGCTAACCAGTTTCCCCTGAATATTTTTATAAAAGTTACCTTGCTCACATTCCAGAAGGCATGTTCATTAAAAAACACTTTCTCCATTCACTACTGTCTAACACGCTCATGCAAGCCTGCTGGATGTTCAAGCCTCAAACTCAAAGCTTCTTTTACACCCTCCCTCTAACCATTCATGGGATGACCTCCCCTACCCATCCTACTTATTTGTCACGTATAATTTGGTCAATAAATATGATTTATAAAGAGTATTATGGTTTTTTTTAGATGATCCTATTTATTATTTTTCCTAAGCTCTTTTTCAATCAAATGAACCAATACTGTTTTTTTTAACACGTCGGTCGTCTCCCACCGAGGCACGGTGACCCAAAAAGAAAATATCCCCAAAATGAAAATACTTTCATCATTCAACACTTTCACCTCACTCATACATAATCACTGTCTTTGCAGAGGTGCTCAGGTATGACAGTTCAGAAGCCCCTCCAAACTGCCAATATCCCAAACCCCTCCTTTAAAGTGCAGGCTTTGTACTTCCCATTTCTAGGACTCAAGTCCAGCTAACCGGTTTCCCTGAATCCCTTCACAAAATATTACCCTGCTTACACTCCAAAACCTCGTCAGGTTCCAAAAACCACTCGTCTCCATTCACTCCTATCTAACACACTCACACATGCTTGCTGGAAGTCCAAGCCCCTCACCCACAAAACCTCCTTTACCCCCTCCCTCCAACCTTTTCGAGGACGACCCCTACCCTGCCTTCCTTCCCCTACAGATTTATATGCTCTCCAAGTCATTCTACTTTGACCCATTCTCTCTAAATGACTAAACCACCTCAACAACCCCTCTTCAGCCCTCTGTCTAATACTTGTAATAACTCCACACCTCCTAATTTCCACACTCCAATTCTCTGCATAATATTTACACCACACCTTTAGACAGGACATTTCCACTGCCTCCAGCTGTCTCCTTGCTGCAGTACATGTATTTGCAACCCAAGGTTCACATCCATACAAGAGTGTTGGTACCACTATACTTTCATACATTGCCTTCTTTGCCTCCATGGATAACGTTTTTGTCTCCACAGATACCTCAGCGCATCACTCACCTTTTTTCCTTTATCAATTCTATGCTTAACCTCATCCTTCAAACCCATCCACTGACAAGCAGCTCCCAAATATCTGAAAACATTCACCTCTTCCATACTCCCTCTCTCCAATGTGATATCCAATTGTTCTTTATCTAAATCATTTGATACCCTCATCACTTTACTCTTATCTATGTTTACTTTCAACTTTCTACCTTTATACACCCTCCCAAACTCATCCACTAACCTTTGCAACTTTTCTTTAGAATCTCCCATAAGCACAGAGTCATCAGCAAAAAGTAACTGTCAACTCCCATTTTGTATTTGATTTCCCATAATTTAATTCCATCCCTCTCCCCAACACCCTAGCTTTTACTTCTTTTACAACCCCATCTATAAATATATTAAATAACCATGGTGACATTACACATCCCTGTCTAAGACCTACTTTTACTGGGAAGTAATCTCTCTCTCCTACAAACCCTAACCTGAGCCTCACTATCCTCATAAAAACTCTTTACAGCATTTAGTAACTTAGTACCTATTCCATATACTTGCAACATCTGCCACATTGCTCCCCTATCCACTCTATAATATGCTTTTTCTGAATCCATAAATGCAATGAAAACTTCCCTACCTTTATCTAAATGCTGTTCACATATATGCTTCTTAGGCTATACAGGAAAAGGGGTTACTAGAACATTGTTCCCATCATCTTAGGTGACTTTTACAACACGCATGGCTTATGGAGAAAAGATTCTTATTCCACTTTCCCATGGATATGAAAGGAAAAGCAATAAGAAAAAGAACTATTAAGATAAAATCAAAGAAAACTCAGATGAGCATGTATACATAAACATGTACATGTATGAGTAGTGTGACCCAAGTGTAAGTAGAAGTAGCAAGATATACCTGAAATCTTGCATGTTTATGAGACAGAAAAAAGACACCAGCAATTGTACCATCATGTAAAACAAATACAAAGGAAGATATTATGAATACTGGGCTCAACCTGATCATCATGAGAAGACCAGCTACCAACCCCACTCTCTGGTCAAGACTCTTCCTCCAATACTGTTTATCCTATGAAAATACTCGGCAACACATTCTTTTGAACTAGCAGAAGTGTGTACAGTATATACAGTAAGAGCTTCTTATCCCTATAAACACCTAGAGCTGTCTCTCCATATATCATGAGATTATTTTATTCCCTATTTTAGGGATTAAAGTATTCTTAATGTTACTGTACAGAGAGATACTATATTAAGGTTAGAGTTGAGGAAAAAAAAAAAGAGTTAAGCAAGACTAAGTAGGGAAAAATAGGGTGACCTACATGTTTCACATATTCATTTGTTGGTCATGGTCAGCAGCTGTTGACCTTTACTATCCTACAAAAATGTATCCTATACAGCTGTATGAATGCCCATGCCAGGCTACTATCAGCCTGACAGTACTTCCTCCCACTCTCCCTAGCAATTAACATTACTGCTATAATATTAAAAGGAATATTTAAAAAAAAGGTGACATTTATTAAATGAGCTTAAAAGGTATCAAATTACAAAACAGTTGGGGGCTTGAACCCATGGTAAGCTAGTCTTAAAACTCTCACACTAGTGTGCTATCCACTGGACCAGTGGCTAGCACACTGGCTTGCAAGTTTAAAGATTCACTTGCTGTGAGTTCGAGTCTCGCCCATTCTGCAATTCGTCTGCAACTGTTATTTTGATGTCATGAGCAAGACAAAATTGTACTGTACAAATATTTTTTTTTTAGTGTACTAAAATTTTTTTGATGGCCATCTGCTCTCTTTCTCTCTTGGGCTTTGCATTTAATTTTAGTTAGATGTTTCCAGTTCTCTGTTTAGTGTGTTTTTTCATTCTAAAGAAAGAAACTTTTGTAATTCTTTCTCTTTAGCTGTAGAGGAAGTGTTCTTCCATTCCAACTTGCATTTTCTGTATACAAACTAACATATGCTGCATAGTTCTCTGCATTTACAATTTGAGTTCACTTTAAACCTGTTTTAAGTATTAAAGTATGCAAGATGTAAGTATTGTAGAAATGGAAAATTGCACCCTTAATAATCTATGTGCTGCCTTAAATCTAATATTGTACACTAATTCCAATATAATTCAACAAATGTCTTGGGCGTACTAGGTTAGATTGGGTCATTTCCCAAATCATGATTTTTACATACTATTTTTAAATTATATAATCTACACTTTAGTTTCAAGTTCCAAATCAATATTACATGGTTTTATACTAATGGAAGATCTTAGAATTGTGGAATTACTGTATGTTAATATTAATTAATCAGTTAGCAAGTTCAATAGCATTGTTAAAAAGCATGTGCCAATCCTCCTAAGCCAAGAGAAGGAAGGTACTAAGCCTGTAGTGTCTAATGATTATTGTTTACTCATGAATTCCTCTCTTGGAAACTTATCATAATGTACTGTATTTGGTATCTTTTCACCTGGGTGAGCCCTTCTCAAATCCAACCTCTTGTCAGCTGTCACCTTCAACATTCTTCACCTGACCCTTCACGTCACTAGGCTCCCTATACAAATGCATGTGCTCTCTCCCCAGGTAAATCTGTTTGTGACTTGATAAAGCCCACTGTGCAAATGAAACGTTGTCAATAAAGGATCACATTATACTGCATTTACATCTCTCTTTCCATGGTGTTGGTATTTTATACCATTTATCTCCTTTTCATCTGAATAGGATGGGGAAAAAGGAAAATTTACATAGTTCTGAATTTTCCTAAATTTGGACACCCTCATGCACAAATTGTCCAGAATAATATTGTTTGGGGTGAAGGGGTAGAGGAGGAGGCAATTTAGTAACATTTCACTATAAATACATGAATAGATTTTGTATTACTGAATCATTGACTACAATAGAAATAGGTTACACTATCATTAAAATTTTGTAAAACCACCATCATCTCAAATACAGTAGAGAACTATACATACAAAACAACATTGTGTGAACAGGCTGAGAATGCTCTAATGAAATTTTCTCCTCCATTAACCATGACTGAAAAAGCAACATGCAATTCATTAATATCTAGTTATGGCAAAATATATAAATTATTCATGTACAAATATTACTTGAACTTTAAAATATTATATTGCATCAACATTGTTTTGCATGATAGTGTACCATTAAGAAATAATGCTACCTGAGTCACATTTGAATATTGCTAACAGTACTGAACATGCACAATGAGAACAACAGCGAGCCACCAAGTCAGCTTCTGATCTTGTGAAAGTATTAACTTGCTTGATTCATTGTTAAAGATACTTGAGAACTACAAAAAGTACAAATCACTATTAAATATACAATGTTTAATCTTGAACTGAATGACTCATCCACTTTAGAACTTCATAAATTACAATACAGTGACAATTTTTAATCCTAACATTCTAAAAAAATTGGTACAAATATTTTTTCTTTATGCACAAAAATGTGTAAAATACTGTAAATATAGAAATATCGATGACATAAAATAATAACTAATAGTCTGGACATAGACGTGTCACTGTTATACCAGTCTACTAAATATATTAGCATATTTAAACAATACAGTTCTGTACTGTTCTTTCAATATTTCCCAGAAGTGCTCATAATTTTAATAGGAAATAACAGCAGAATAATATCAAATCACCTTAAACGATTGTTGTTTATTAAGCATCTACTCCTGGAGGATGTAAAACCTCTTCTTAGACATATACAAAGGAAATTTCAGAAGATGAAGATTTTGAAAAATTTTAAAGGAATACCATAAGAATTGATATGAACTCTCTACCAAACTTGGGAAAAGAATAAATATTTTATTATCACACTGGCCGATTCCCAGAAAATACTTCAGTTAAGTATATTTGCTGTCTAGAATTGTAAGCCCAATAATACTGTCTTTGGGTGTGTAATATACACGGTACATGTATTATGACTCACGAAATCGTAATGACACGATTGCTAACAAACCATACCACATGATGGTCTGGAGTTTTAAGACTCTCTGACCATGGGTTCAAACCCCACCCGTGGTATGGTTTGTTTACATAGTATTATCGTATTCTTGATATGTGATGTTTATAAGCTGACCTTCACATCATCTGGGTCAACCATAAGCAATAAGTTTGCGAAGGAAAATTGATCTATCTTATTTTAGATATTCTCAAAGGGGTACCTTTAAGTGAGTGCCTGAATTTTTTCTTCCTCCTGATGCCTAGCCTAGCATTATGGAAATCTAGGTGTCCACAAGGATTGTGATGGATGACAAGCATTGCTCGAATCATACCACTAGCATGCACGACGGTATTCATTAATACACTGTGCATGATTTCGGAAAGTTTCTCCAACATATATTTTGTCATGTGCATACAGTGGTGTTGGTAACCTTACCTTGTTTTTTTTTTTTTGTAGGTACTAGACACCAAAGGTACTTTTGTTGTGTAGGGAGATTAAGTACATGCATTTGTTGTGGATTAGGATAAGACAGGTACAGTATAACTGAGATGTGCTTTAGATTCTGTACACAAATTACTTTCTTACTGTTATTATCATACACAATCTTAAGTGGACTTATACATTAGAAAATTCAGAATTTTGGTGTGACCCTCCTATTTGCTTAACTGGATTTTGGCTACTTTAATGATTTTTACATCATCTTGTGGGTGCCAACAACATGCTACTGTTATCACAGCGGTAGCTACTGTTACGATAGCAGGGGCAAACATAGCAATGAGCAAGTTGGGAAGTATTTAAGAACAGATATAAACCATCTGTGTTATCCACTAATCAGATATTATGAGTGTACGCTTCACCTTTGGTAATTACAGCTCTTGAAGTTCTCAAGCCTCTTTATAATGTAATTCAGATCTTTGTGTGTACCTGTACCCTCAAGTTGCGATGTGTTCCGACGAGGGAAGACCACATTTAGGTCAGGTATAGCCATGTAGCTCCCTGCAATGTATAATGGAATAATGGTTTTTTGTGGGTCTCTCTCAAACCAGTATTACCACTATGCATTAGTCAATACGTGTTAAAGTCATAACTGTCCATCTTTCTTGCTGTTAGATACCGGTAAAGCTTTTTATACTAAACAGATGTAGTATTGTATACAAAGCGTCATTAATAACAAAACCAACTAAAAAAAGCTACTCAAAAATGCAGCTATAATATACAGAATACAGTACTACATACCTGGAAACTATCATCTATTTGGTATGAGAATTATGGTAAACAGTAGATGACTACAACTTATAACATGGTTAGAATACAGTACATCATTAATTTTTTGAGAAAAACTAAAGGAAGTCCATGCTATTTATATACAACAGTCAAACCTCAATTTTTGTATGCCCTAGTTTATAATAATAATAATGGGCAAGGGGTTAGTAACCCCTTCTCCTGTATATATTACTAAATGTAAAAGGAGAAACTTTCGTTTTTCCTTTTGGGCCACCCCGCCTCGGTGGGATACGGCCGGTGTGTTGAAAGAAGAAAGAATAATAATAATAATAATAATAATAATAAGAATAAGAATAATAATAATAATATTTTATTAGGATATGATACATAGTTGTACAAGGTATTATAGTAGTTGGGTGTACATGCCGAAAGCCCCTTGTATGCAGAGCATTACGGGGAGGCTTAAAATTAACTTAAGACTATCTAAGCTATAACAGAGTAACGGTAACAGTTACTGTAGACAATTTACAATATCAAGTACAACCGAGTTATTTTAAACAATGAATTTGAACATTTCAATTCTGAAGCATTATAGTTTTACAATTTTGTAACATTACAGTTAGTAATATAACAATGATCAATTTACTATATGTAGTCATATAATTTAATAATCAGATCTAATCAAATCAAATCAATGATCTGTAGTGCAGTAACAGTTTAAATGGTCATTAGATGACTTACAGTTCATTCATGAGAATAGATTATTCTATTAGGTAATGCTATAAAAACAGTTTGATAAGGCTTCTCTAATTATACAACTGAGTTATACATTTATGAGATGTAAGTTATGCAATATTAGCATTAGGTTTGATATGAGAATTTATTGATCTGTGAGCATTTAATTGTGGGGTCCTAAGGCTAGGGGAGTAACACAGTGAGTAATGATATTTTAAGGCAGTAGAAAGTGATTTGTTAACTATGTAGGTAAAGTTAAATTAAATACTGTGTAATTAGTTTTGGATGAGTAGGTGGTTTTTAAGAAGTCTTGAATTGATATACAGACTGTGTTTCTTTGGTATTCACTGGTAATGAATTTCAAATTTTGGGGACTTATGTGCATTGAGCTTTTACATAGTGTGAGATGGACACGGGGAACATCAAAGATTGATCTGTGTCTTGTGTTATGGTCGTATGTTCTGTTAAAGCTGGTAAGGAGAAGTTTGAGGGGAGGGTTTATATCCGAGTTTAGTGTTCTATGTATGTAGTAGGCACAATAATAAGTATGGATGTTTTGTATGGTGAGTAAGTTTAGACTTTTGAATATTGGTGGTGTGTTCTGTCTGGAGTGGGAATTTGTTATCATTCTGACTGCAGTCTTTTGCTGGGTAATTAATGGTCTGAGATGATTTATTATTGTTGAGCCCCATGCACAGATTCCATAGGTGAGATAGGGGTAAATAAGTGAGTGATACAGGGCAAGGAGAGCTGATTGTGTAACATAGTACCGTATCTTTGATAGTATGCCTACGGTCTTGGAGACTTGGAAAGTTGTTGTACATGTGTCTGAAATTTGAGGCTATTATCAAGGTGGATTCCAAAGAATTTTCCCTCTGAGTTTTGTGATAGGTGATCCATTTATCATTATGTTAAGGGGAACATTTGTATCTCTGTTCCCAAACTGAATGAAGTAGGTTTTGTCAATATTGAGAGTAAGTTTGTTAATCATCATTCAGGTAGATATTTTCTGTAATTCAGTGTTTACAGTAATGGCTAGTATGACTGGGCTTGAGTGAGAGCAGACATACGTAGTGTCATCTGCAAATAATATGGGTTTGAGTGGTTGAGATGCATTTGGTAGGTTGTTTATGTAAATGAGAGAGTATGTAAAACTATAGTTATTCTCAATAAAATGTATTTTTAGATAATATTTTTGGGTGTCTGAAATGGATTAATTGGATTTATATTATTTCTTATGGGAAATATTAACAAAAAATACATTTTATAGAGAATAACTATAGTTTTACATACTAACCAGGGCATACAAAAACCAAGGTTTGACTGTATATCAGACAACATAATTATATACTCTTGTTATCAGTTATCCATGCACTTTTTTTGCAGCAGTCACATACTTTACTAGTGAAAAATTACCCAATCTCTGCATCAAGGCTTTAAAATGCTACAGATGTTCAACTAATTACTGTATCATATAAATGGTACAAATGTGAAGCTGTTAGATTTAAATAGGATACTGCCGGTAATACTGAAAAAAGATTATGTTGCACAACAAGCTTTTACTGAAAATGTTTCTGCTTCAAAAAAAGTTCTAACAGAGCAAAATGTTGTCCCAATAAAAGCTTATTTTGCAACTTGGCTGCTTAACACAACAGTATGGCTGTTAATAAGTTTAAGGACTGTCAACAGATAAAGATTAATTTGTAATATACAGCCTCTCATCACTTAACAACATACTTGTTTACCGACAACTCGGACTTACAACGGCTCTCTGACCAGTATGCATACTTAAATGATGTAAATTAGAGCTGATTGCCTCTATTCTGTTTATTACAATATACAGTACACTACTGTATATTATAATAAACAGTAAAAATGTTATAAATGGCACAAAGGTGAAATTAAAGCACTATCAAAGATGGTCGACACAAACCCACTACCATTATAGTATGCTCCTTGCTTAGTGACAAATTCATTTACCGATGTGGTCTTAGGAACAGAACTCCATCATTAAGTAAGTAGAGGCTGTATACAGAACGTCATTAAAATTTTATGAAAAAAAAAAAATGATTAACAACTTGAGTGTAGATAAAAGAAAAATAGTGCTATATAGAACAAAAAAATTAATTTGAAAGTATGTACACAGGGTTCTTGAGTGTTAATTGGAAAGGAACAAAATAATAACAAGAGAACTACAGAGATCCTTAACTTTGGTAAATATATTTATACTGTATATACTGTAGCAAACAGGTTTCCTAATAACTTTACATATTATACTTTAATGTTTTTTTTTATGACATGAGTGTATAGGAATATTTATCCTTATGTTTCAGGAATTATTTCCTCAGGATAATACAATTTTACAGATTTTATATAGAAAAATTAATGGATTAATCTGCAAAAGTTCAATTAATGGATATTATAAACAAGAAGAAACTAGACAAAGGGAGATAAAGATACTTATGTATAGTTCAAGAATCATTTCAACATGTATGTCTTTATCCACATTTTGACTATTACCATACCTGTTAAACTAGAAAAAATAAGCCTCACTGAAAGTAAACTGATTAAACGTTATATATGAGACAGCTTTTGAGGGTAACTACTCAATTTTGAGGAGAGAGAACAGGAAAAAGAAGGCTTGACAATATTGGTAAAGAACACAATGTATATAAGCTTCTGAAGTCCTGAAAAAAAAAAAAAAAAAAAGATGAAAAAATTTAGAATTGGAAATGTATAGAATCCACCATTTAACAACAGAGGTGAGAGACAAGAATTTGACAAAATAAATGAGACTGTATAATACAGTGGGGGCCCTAAAATCATAATGCTATTACACAAATGCCACAATTGGCTGATCACTCTTAGAAATGGCAAATAGAAATACAAATTTCTCTTTCTTCCATCATCAAAGACAGTTACAACTCAATGTGGTAATAGCTGCTACTGAGGGCACTAGACAGCATCAATGAAGAAAACACGGCATTTTGTAGGAGGCAGTGCTACATTATAAGAAATAAATGTGTACAATTTATTCAGATATGCGGAGAAGGGAAGGGAGGGTGAGCTGACTACGATGTGGATGAAAGTGAGGTTAGGAAGCAGCGAGAAAGAAAATGAATTTTGTTGAAAGAACTGAAGGTTGATACTGGTAACTATAGTTTGTGTTGTGGGCTAACACTTCCTCACTCACTCTACTGCTACATTATCACTCTCATACATTGATTATTACAAGTGATTTATACTCCATCAAGATGGAATACAAAAACAATAAAAAATTATTACTTACTTAGAGACTGAAACTTTGACTTGAGGTGCTCGGTAGGTAGGTTTAGTGATCGCAAGAGGAATACATAAGCATATACTAAGAAGATTATTGATCCAATGTACAGGTAAAGGTAGAATCCCTGCAAGATGTAAATATATCACAAATTAATTAACAGTTTACACAAATCAAACGGAATATTCAAATCGTCTAAGCTACGTGCTATGTCTTGTGGTCTGTTTCTTACAGAAATTGAACATTTTCCCATTTTTTCCTGTTATACATATTGACTATTTTATGGACTCATTTCATGACTGTATTTGTCAAATGCTTCAGGCTAAGGTAAACCTTTGTAGACTACATCTGTATTTGGTATTCTTCCAAAGCCTCTAATTTTGTCACAATGGTTTAGTTATGATGAGAGTGATCTTACTAAATCCATGTTCACTTGTGTTGTATGGATCGTGCTTTTTCCACCAAATTTGTAATTTGATGTCTCACAAACTCATTCAAAGACTTTTCTGATGTTTGATGCTAGTGGTTCTGGTCTAATTTCTTTTGTCAGAGCTCCACTGCCTCTTTTGTGCAGAGGGGATATGTTTGAACTTTTTAACGCCTCGCAGATTTCACCTCAATATAAGCCGCTTTCTCTAAAGAATAGTATGTAGTGCTCGTGCTAGTGATATTTTGACCTTTATAGATACTGCAAATAATTTTAAGAATCCAGCCCTGGTGCTGCATGCATGGATATGTGTTCCATTTCTTTTTTGCATTCTTGGAGATTTATGCTTATGTCAGATACATGGTTTGTAGCAAGGTTAGAAGTAATAAACAAACCTGACTGATTCATACTGAGTTTTCCAAATCTGATAATTTTTTCATTATCAATGACCAAACCTTCTGTGAGTAGTGGGCCAATTCTATGGGTGGTCACTTTTTAATTGGATTTCAAGTGGAAATATTTAAGGTTTACATTTTCATTTTCCTGAATGACTTTTTTGCTCCATTTGTGCTTCTTCCAACTGGTATGGATATATTCTTGTTTATTTCCTCTTATCACCATGGGGAAGTGGAAAAGTATTCTTCCTCCAAAAGCCATGCATGGCGTAAGAGGCGACTAACAGGCCGGGAGCAAGGGGCTAGTAACCCTTTCTCCTGTATACTACATTACTAAATTTAAAAAGAGAAACTTATTTTTCTTTTTTTGCTACCCTGCTTCAGTGGGATATGGCCAATTTGTTGAAAGAAGAAGATATTCATTTTTAAGCAATTCAGTAACTCTTCTTTTGTATATTCTTTTACATTAACTATCAATATGTCATCTCCTTGTCAGGTCTTCTCAGCAGGACATATTTTATACAGGCCCTATATGCTTCCATATTCGGCTTTGCCATGCATTGGTGTGGGTTAAGGGTGCTTCAGACAGATTACAAGGAATGCCTGGTACTTTTTGTTTTGTTATGGGGTAAATTAATTTAATCTATTTTTGGAAACAAGTCAAAATTTTAAGCACTGTTCTCACTTCTTCCATTACAACATTATGAATGATGTTTCTCAATTGTATTTTGAAAAAAAAGTGAGAAAATCTACTTAAAAACACTACTGCACAAAATAAGTTAATGCATAATTAGTTATTTCAATTGAAAAAACGATGTCACAGTAGATATCCAAATGTCAATACAGTGGAACCTCTGCTTACGAGTGGCCCACCATGCGAGTTTTTAACCCTTTCAGGGTCCAAGGCCCAAATCTGGAGTCGCGCACCAGTGTCCAAGAATTTAAAAAAAAAAAATTTGTTATTTTTTCTTATGAAATCGTAGAGAATCTTTTTGTGAAGGTAATAAAACAAAAAGTACGAAATTTGGTGGAAAATTGACGAAATTATGCTCTCGCGAATTTTGATGTGTCAGCGATATTTACGAATCGGCGATTTTGCCGACTCTGACTCCCATTTTAGGCCAATTACATTATTCCAATCAACCAAATTCTTAGCTATTTCACTAGTATTACTTCTATTCTATCGATTGAGCACAAGAAATCGCCAAGTCAACTGTTTCAACTACAAAATAAAGTGATCGGAAATTGTTAATTTGGCCAATTTAACACAAAGTTCAAAATATTCCAATTTCAAAATAAGGTCCAGAATGAACAATGTAGGCATTCCTGGCACTAAACTAACATTTCTTCTGTTCATTAGTTATGTTTTGAGGCTTTACAAATAAATTCCATTTTGATTTTTTATTCACATAATGAATTTTTATTCACACCAAAAAATAGAAGATTTACTCTTATGCAATACTGTAATAATAGTATAAATATCATCACCATATTTGTGAATGTATATTAGACCCACCAGCTGACGTGTATTAGATGTGTGAGGTCGTTTGTTTACTCTTGAATATCGGCAAAAATTTAACATTTCCGCTACTTTGAGCTCAGTTTCACGCCATTTCCAATGCTAAAACCAATCAAAATCATCTCTATTTCTGTAATATGTCTTCCATTCTATCAAATGAGACCAAGAAATCGCAAATACGACTATAAAAAACATACGAAAAAACACTGCAAAGTTGCTGTTTTAATCGAAAAATCATGATTTCATTTTTTTTCTCTCATTATACACAGTGTGCTGCAGGATCTGTTTTATGTGGTGCACACATACCACATAGATGTATTCTCTCATATCTATGCCCAAATGTACCACTCACAGTTTATCAGAGTGAGCTGAGCTCATGGCGTAGATCTACGGTTTGGACCCTGAACATAAAGCCGTAGATCTACGGGACGGACCCTGAAAGGGTTAAGTACGTGCCAAAATTCAGGTTGCAAGCTTCCCCCTCATGGGAGGTTCCTTGACGCTGGTGAGGGGCTCTTGTTCTAGGGAATTGGATCTGTGCACCAGTTCTCTAAATTAATAATAATAATAATAATAATAATAATAATAATAATAAGCGATTTTCAGAACACTGCCACTGGGTGGTGCAGCAAACACCACAACATAAGCTGAGCTGTGCAATGTGTTTATGTAGCCGTGAAAGCATTTCTCATGTTATTATTGCCAAATTTCTTTTTTCTAACCATGGGTCCTAAGATGTAAGTGCAAAGGACAGTGCTGAGAAGAAAAAGAGGATGATGTCAGTGAAATTACAGCATGAAATCATAGATAAACAAGCGAGGTGTGCGATGGTAGTAGGAGCTAGTAGCCTATCTTCCACTCTCCACCTTTGCCAGCGTACATATACTTTATGAAACCACTTTATTTCTTTACATTCTCTATGTTTTAATACAATATTTCTTATTTATGAAACTAGTGCAGTTAGCCTCACAAACACTCCATTTTCTCTCATAATAAAAGCATGGGAAGATATAATCGGCAGGAGAGGGAATGGACACTGCCTCCACCACTCGCCATATTATGGCCTATTTTATTCATTCTAGAGTATATATCATGTTTCTATGTTAATTATATTATTTATTATGTCATGTTACATGAATTGTGATAGATAAATAAGCCAGAGTTGATATTAGAGTCATATTGAAGTATTTTTGTCCTGCCTACCGAGAGCAGGAATTCTGCTGAAATGGATTAATGGCATTTCAGTTAATTTGAATGAGGAAAATTGACTCAGCATACAAGCAGATCGGGTTATGAGCTAGGTCACGGAATGGATTAAACTTGTAAGCAGAGGTTCCACTGTACTTTAAAATTCTCCAGAAGCTCAGTGAAGAGAAGAGCATAGTTACATTTCATGTAAGGTAACACTGTTTTAACAAAAGTGTATAAATTTATTAATGATTAAACTTATTTTAGGTCACCAGGCAATAGTCATCATTACTGTATCAGTTAAGTTTGAAAAAATATTAAGAAATTTCACTGCATACAGATAATAGAGCTAGCTAATTTTAAATAAAATTTTGTAACAAAGAACACTATCTGATTTGTGAAAATATTGGCAGACAATAAAATATATAGAAATAAGGTATACTATAATCAAATAATGTCCACAGGAATTAGTTCAAATAATTCAAGGTTTATTGAAATGGTGTAATTTACCAATATTTTCCAAAAGTTACCATCTTAGTATTATGAAAACTAAATTGATTTTCACTCACATTATAGAAAGAAATGGGAATATCGTGCGAGATGACCTCAGCTATTGGAAAGGCCATACCCATTACCACCAGCAGCTTACCATACAGGGCACTCAAGCATGCAATAAGAGAATCACTGAGGGAAAAAAAAAAAAGACAAAAGTGACATTAAGATAAGAATACAATTGGTACTTTCTTCATGACTGTGATTTATACTCTAGTACTTTACTGTGCAAATAAGCAACATTATGGTTATTTCAAATTAATATGAAAAGGTCAGATAGTATTACAAAAGATACAAAAAAAAAAAAAGCTATGTATACTAACTTTCCTTCCTGCTTCCAGTCCACGACCGATGGCACCAAGCTGTTCCGTGAACTAAAATGACGAATGTTGTTAGCTGATGGGAGGCTGTTACCTTGGAGGTTAGTTTGACTGCCTCCTATACGTCTAAACATCTCATTCATAGAATTTCGACGGGTCTTTCTGTACATATTGAAATCAAGTGACTGGCGACGACCCTCATGGAACTCCAGCATGGTGGTATTCAATCTGTTGGGAGTAGGGCTGGGACTACCTCACACTACAGTACTACTGGAGCTTTAGACTTCAACAGTCTTTAAAGGGTTAGCTAAAAGCTACTTTTATATTTGTAATTTTAAGGGTTATGGTGATCTAATAAATACCGTCGACCCAGCAAAAATGAGGCAAGTGAGAAACCAGAATTTCCAGAAAATGTTGTTTCCAAGGATCACCCAAACAGGTTAATTTTTTTTTTTTTAAGGGAATGTCACCTAAACCAATTTTATCCAGCATCGCCTTTTACACTCACTGAGATACGTTCTTTACTTTATTTAGTCACTTGAATTTACTTTACTCCTTTATGTTTCATTCTGCTTTAATATACAGTATATAAGTATTTATTAGTTGTGTTAATGGATAATTTTGTTAAAACATTAACTTATAAAAGTTAGTCAAGGGGAACATTGGTACTTAACTAATTTAAATAGTCTACCTCAAGACTACCTTTATATTTTACACAAATTTGCCTAGTCATATAAAACTAAGACCATCTACTCTATCTCTTTTCTAAGTAAACTTATTTTCTCCTTCCATCCAGATATAATAAGCATGTACTAACTTAATCCAATAAAAATGCAGACAGGAGAAAATAGTAATAATGTAATTAAACTATGCTGAATACAAATGAAATAATGATTTGTATATTAAACTGACATAAAATAATACACATATATTGCATATATAAAATAATACTGTACAGTCACCAAATAACATTGCATGTATATAAATTAGAAAATATACTACTGTATTTTATATGGAATGTATGTTACATTAATGAAATAACATGTACTACAGTATATCTTTCTTCTTTCTTTCAACACACCGGCCGTATCCCACCGAGGCGGGGTGGCCCAAAAGGAAAAACAAAAGTTTCTCCTTTTAAATTTAGTAATTTATACAGAAGGGGTTACTAGCCCCTTGCTCCCGGCATTTTAGTCGCCTCTTACGTCACGCATGGCTTACGGAGGAAGAATTCTGTTCCCCTTCCCAATGGAGAACTACAGTGTATATATATGTATGCATGTATATGTATATGTATGTACATATGTATGCAATAAGATCACAGTAAACAGGCGATTTCAGAATATGCAAAACAACCACTCTGAAAGAATAGAGAAATTCCAAGCGCTTTTGTGACTACTCGCATTATCAAGGAACTATGAAAGTAAAGCATCCAAGGAAGGTATATAAGGGGTCTGGCCAACACCTCACTATCAGATCCCACCAACGGTTAAACACCTGACGCGCGCCGGCCCAACTGGACAGGTCCTTTGCACAACCCACCAACAAACTATTCTACCCAAGAAAATTTTAAAAATTATTATTTGTCCAGTGTATTATTAAATTCTTCCCAAATTCTATTAATTATAAATGGATCTAATTTATATAAACCAAAGGAAATATTCATATTATTGTCAAAACTGCTTTTTATGAAACAAGATTCAATTACAGTGGACCCCTGCTTAACGATCACCTCCAAATGCGACCAATTATGTAAGTGTATTTATGTAAGTGCGTTTGTACGTGTATGTTTGGGGGTCTGAAATGGACTAATCTACTTCACAATATTCCTTATGGGAAAAAATTCGGTCAGTACTGGCACCTGAACATACTACTGGAATGAAAAAAGTTCATTAACCGGGGGTCCACTGTATATTCCTGTCGATCATGGACTTGCTTGATACTACTTTCTCAACTTTTTGAAAATCAATTGGATGGTTAAAATCTCTTACATGAATAAATAGAGCATTGGAATCTTGTCCAGTTCTAATGCTATATTTATGTTGTTTTAATCTTAGTTCGAGATTTTTACCAGTTTGACCGTAATAAACTTTATCGCAAATTTTACAAGGAATCTTATAGACACATCCATCAGCATTTTGGGGGGAATTCTTTATCAAAAGTTTTTTTACTGTATCAAGATTTTTGAATACAACTTTAATATTAAAAGTCTTAAGAAGAGAAGGCATATCAACCAAGTTTTTATGGTAAGGGAGAACCAACATATTTTTAGTTGAATAAGGCTGGTTGTCCCTTTTTGGACTGTAAAAAGTATTTCTAGCAACTTTAAAAGATTTATCAATTACATTTCTTGGGTATTTTAAATCATTACCCATTTCATAAATTTTGGATATTTCCTCATCTATGAACTCAGGACTACAAATTCGTAAAGCTCTCAAAAACATTGATGAGAAAACAGACAGTTTGACTATCTTGATGTGAAGAATAATAGTGGACATAGGAACAGTTATTTGTAGGTTTTCTGTAAATTTTAAATTTGAATTCATTATTACCCTTAATAATTAAAACATCTAGAAAAGGCAATGAGTTATTTTCTTCAAACTCAACAGTAAAGTTTATAGAATGGGCTAAACTATTTAATTTTCCAAGGAAATGGTGTATATCTACATTTTTGGGCATAAGACAAAATATCATCAACATATCTGAACCATTTAGCTCTATTAGGGAGGATTGTGTTAAGCAACCGTGTTTCAAAAAATTCCATGTATAGGTTACCAAACTTCTGAGTAAAACTTACAAATTTTGCATCAACAGTGCAAAGTTTAATAAGTTTAATGATAGTAGGAACTGGCAATGGTAAATCATATTTAACGAGTTCTTCAGATAAAAAACTTAATAAATCATCAACAGGAACTTTCGTAAACAAGGAAGTAACATCAAAACTAACCATGTTAAAATCATTTAAGTCAGTCAAGGAGCTTAATTTATCAACTAAGTCTATGTTGTTTTTAACATTAAAGTTAGAAATTTTGCCAACAATAGGGCTCAAAATATCAACAAGCCATTTGGATAATTTATATGAAACTGACCCTATGGAGCTAATAATTGGTCTGACTGGATTCCCTGGTTTGTGTGTTTTTCTGGTGGCCTGGTGGTTAACGTTCTCGCTTCACACGGTGAGGGCCTGGGTTCGATTCCCAGCCAGAGTAGAAACATTGGACGTGTTTCTTTCCACCTGTTGTCTATGTTCCCCATCAGTAAAATGGGTACCTGGGTGTTAGTCGACTGGTGTGGGTCGCATCCTGGGACACTGACCTAAGGAGGCCTGGTCACAGACCGGGCCGCGGGGGCGTTGACCCCCGGAACTCTCTCCAGATAAACATGTAAGGTAAAGATGGATTAGTGGAAGTAAATTGTTTGACTAATTCATCTTTGCCTTTCAGTAGAAGTTTTATTGTTTTATTGAAATTGCTGTTAATGGTTTCTAGGGGATTTTTCCTAAGTTTAGAATAGGTTTCAGTATCATCTAAGAGATTATTCATTTTTTCTTGGTAATCATTTTCTTTCATAATTACTATTGCATTTATTTTGTCTGCTTTAGTAAGGTGCAAATTTTTATTGTTATTAAGTGCATCATAAGACTTAAAGAATCTTTGAGGGCAATTGGGAATATTTGGTTTTAACATAAAGCTATATACCATTCCTTTACTAATATTAATTTCATCTGAGGATAAATCAGAAAATTGTTCAAAGTTACAAAAGGCTTTTGCAATTTCAACATTATTAAGTTTTTTTGAAGTTGCAAAACTTAGGCCAAAACCTAGAGCAGCAGTTGTATTTTTGTCTAAAATTTCATCTGATCAGTTTAATATTAAAGTTGTATTCAAAAATCTTGATACAGTAAAAAAACTTTTGATAAAGAATTCCCCCCAAAATGCTGATGGATGCGTCTATAAGATTTTTTTATTATATTTTTTATTATCACACTGGCCGATTCCCACCAAGGCAGGGTGGCCCGAAAAAGAAAAACTTTCACCATCATTCACTCCATCACTGTCTTGCCAGAAGGGTGCTTTACACTACAGTTTTTAAACTGCAACATTAACACCCCTCCTTCAGAGTGCAGGCACTGTACTTCCCATCTCCAGGACTCAAGTCCGGCCAGCCGGTTTCCCTGAATCCCTTCATAAATGTTACTTTGCTCACACTCCAACAGCACGTCAAGTATTAAAAACCATTTGTCTCCATTCACTCCTATCAAACACGCTCACGCATGCCTGCTGGAAGTCCAAGCCCCTCGCACACAAAACCTCCTTTACCCCCTCCCTCCAACCCTTCCTAGGCCGACCCCTACCCCGCCTTCCTTCCACTACAGACTGATACACTCTTGAAGTTATTCTGTTTCGCTCCATTCTCTCTACATGTCCGAACCACCTCAACAACCCTTCCTCAGCCCTCTGGACAACAGTTTTGGTAATCCCGCACCTCCTCCTAACTTCCAAACTACGAATTCTCTGCATTATATTCACACCACACATTGCCCTCAGACATGACATCTCCACTGCCTCCAGCCTTCTCCTCGCTGCAACATTCATCACCCATGCTTCACACCCATATAAGAGCGTTGGTAAAACTATACTCTCATACATTCCCCTCTTTGCCTCCAAGGACAAAGTTCTCTGTCTCCACAGACTCCTAAGTGCACCACTCACTCTTTTTCCCTCATCAATTCTATGATTCACCTCGTCTTTCATAGACCCATCCGCTGACACGTCCACTCCCAAATATCTGAATACGTTCACCTCCTCCATACTCTCTCCCTCCAATCTGATATTCAATCTTTCATCACCTAATCTTTTTGTTATCCTCATAACCTTACTCTTTCCTGTATTCACCTTTAATTTTCTTCTTTTGCACACCCTACCAAATTCATCCACCAATCTCTGCAGCTTCTCTTCAGAATCTCCCAAGAGCACAGTGTCATCAGCAAAGAGCAGCTGTGACAACTCCCACCCTGTGTGTGATTCTTTATCTTTTAACTCCACGCCTCTTGCCAAGACCCTCGCATTTACTTCTCTTACAACCCCATCTATAAATATATTAAACAACCACGGTGACATCACACATCCTTGTCTAAGGCCTACTTTTACTGGGAAAAAATTTCCCTCTTTTCTACATACTCTAACTTGAGCCTCACTATCCTCGTAAAAACTCTTCACTGCTTTCAGTAACCTACCTCCTACACCATACACTTGCAACATCTGCCACATTGCCCCCCTATCCACCCTGTCATACGCCTTTTCCAATTTATGTTGTTTTAATCTTAGTTCGAGATTTTTACCAGTTTGACCGTAATAAACTTTATCGCAAATTTTACAAGGTATCTTATAGACGCCTGGAAAAGGCGTCTATAAGATACCTTGTAAAATTTGCGATAAAGTTTATTACGGTCAAACTGGTAAAAATCTCGAACTAAGATTAAAACAACATAAATATAGCATTAGAACTGGACAAGATTCCAATGCTCTGTTTATTCATGTAAGAGATTTTAATCATCCAATTGATTTTCAAAAAGTTGAGAAAGTAGTATCAAGCAAGTCCATGGTCGACAGGAATATAATTGAATCTTGTTTCATAAAAAGCAGTTTTGACAATAATATGAATATTTCCTTTGGTTTATATAAATTAGATCCATTTATAATTAATAGAATTTGGGAAGAATTTAATAATACACTGGACAAATAATTTTTAAAATTTTCTTGGGTAGAATAGTTTGTTGGTGGGTTGTGCAAAGGACCTGTCCAGTTGGGCCGGCGCGCATCAGGTGTTTAACCGTTGTGGGATCTGATAGTGAGGTGTTGACCAGACCCCTTATATACCTTCCTTGGATGCTTTACTTTCATAGTTCCTTGATAATGTGAGTGGTCATGAAAGCGCTTGGAATTTCTCTATTCTTTCAGAGTGGTTGTTTTGCATACATACATACATACATACATATACATATTATATATATATATATAAATTTAAAAGGAGAAACTTTTGTTTTTCCTTTTGGGCCACCCTGCCTCGGTGGGATACGGCTGGTGCGTTGAAAAAAGAATGTATATACATGTATATACATAGAAATCTTATATTCATAAAATGTAACGTATAATGTATATTGGTACTGTAAATCTATGTCTTATTACACTGGCCATTTCCCACCAAGGTAGGATGACCCAAAGAAGAAAACATTCACAATTACTCCCTAGCTATTTTTTCCAGAAATTCATGAACACCATGATCAAATGACCTTTTGAACTGCAACATCCCCACTTGTCTCAGGAAGCATGCACCATCCTTCTTACTGCTGATACTCAAAGTCCAACCTGCTGGTGTTCCTAAATCCTTGCATTGTGCATATGTTGCCTTTTATACACAGCAAACCCAAAAATATTCACATTTCAAGCATTCTGAAGTGTGAGCATTCCAACTCTGTGGAATGTCCCCAATACCTTCCATACACCACAGATTTATACACCCTCTTGCTTAAGTCTATCTTGGTTTGACAGAACTGCCAGATAAGTGCATATTTCGCAGTTGCACCAAACCTCTGCCATTTCATGAATTTTCCTTCTACTATGCTGGATGAGCATGCCTTAAGCAAATGGTTGAGAGTTTTTCTACTTTTGAAACCCAGCCTGAGTCCAGACTTCATTGCTGACTACCCATTTAACCAGACTGTTGCTGTCAGTGACCAGAAGGCTGAGTAAAAATTAAAACCTGGCTTATCTGGTACTAGTTACACTAAGTACTCTAGTTTTTTCTTGAAAACCTCTACGTTTGCTCTAGCTACTTACGCCTGATAAGTCGACCGAGTCTCCTAAACAATCTCAGAATCTCGTGTATTTTTCCCTATGTAAAAATAATTTTAACATTACAAAATTACAGTGGTACCCCGAGTTTCAGCCATAATTCGTTCCGGAAAGCTGTTTGAATGCTGTTACCGAACGAATTTGTTCCCATAAGAAATAATGTAAATTAGATTAGTCTGTTTCAGACCCCCAAAAATACACTTAGAAAAGCACTTACAATATTACACTTACATAACTGTTCGAGTTGAGAGCTGTACGAAACTCGGGGTACCACTGTATTCCTCAGCAAGGTTAGGTAGGATTGTTATTTGTTTTAAATAAATTTTAGTAGAGTTAAATTAGATTATTAAGTTTGTTTTGGTGTGACAAGAAATTATATACGTTGATTAACAAACACATTACAGTAGGACCCCTGTATCTGCAAGGATACATTCCAAGGACTTGCCGTGGATACCGAAACTGTGGAGAGTAGCAAACTCTATATTTACAAGTCCTATACATACCTATTATAAAGTTTAATTGATAAATTATGCATAAGTGGAGAATTATCACTTTTTCACTGATGAGAAGTACTTCATGACTTCTCTTAGGCTTTGAAGAATTGCCAACTTTTTTACATTTCTGCTTTGGGGCCATTATAAGAATTATTTTTGAGTTAGAGTAAACCATGAATAACTGATACTGTGGATATTGAATCAGTGGATACTGGGGTTCTACTGTATTTTTTTTTTGTTTTGTTTGACCAATTTGGCATAATAAACACAAAAATACAGACAAAAACAAGCGAACAAAAATACACACACATGCACACATAGATAAGTGGAAGAAGAAATGCTAAAGAAAGCTGTACACATGTCGAGACCAAAATTGGAACATGCAACAGTAGCACACCATGCACATCTAGGTAGTACTGTACAGTACTACCATCCTCTCATACAGATGTGAACTGGAAGCCTGTTAAGCATTTTGCAATTACTGTAAGAAGGATTGCTGCTCTTTTCCTTCTGCCTCATAAATATACAGGATGGATAAATTTTTACAAACTTCTACTTACATTCAGTGTACCCAAATCTTTACCTTCCTGTATGTTTCTTCATAGTTCTTAATCCTTTAATGTTTCCTTTATAATTTATGAGATCGGACCTTGGTATAGGCCAAGGTGACAAGGATGCCCAGAACCATTAAGAGATTTAACAGACAAGTGTGTATACAATTACTTATTCATAACAACAGGAGCAGAGCTAAGCTTGTGATGTCCTGTATTAATATTACAGTTTCATAAGATTTCTAATGGTTTTAGCACTTATTTTTCTCCATTCTACTGTTTCATTCCTAGTATCCTTGAACTTCACTTTTTCTTCAGTTTATAACAACTGTGAGCTCTTGCTTTCCCTGTTGAAGGTAAACTAATAAATCTTATTTCTTTTACTGAATATCCATTTACGAATTTTGGAAGTTTGTCATGGATGTGTTGAGATGAACCGATGCTACTTGTATCATTATTTATCACTATCCCCATTTTGTTTCAAAATTTTTATTCTTTTTTTTTATGCAATGATACATAAAATGGTAATTGTGTTGATATAAGTTCCATATCTTTGTTTTTTGCAATAACTACATTTTTAGTATTATAATTTTCAATCCATATTAGATTCAAAAAAACATTTTTTGCTACATTGGCAGCTTCCACCAAGGCTGGGTAACACAAGGAAAGAAACATTCATCAACAGAAGTCTTGCCAGCAGTTCACAGCATTCCCATTCAAATGATCTTCTGACTCACACCACCACCATTCATCCTTCAAAGTGCAGGCACTATTTTTCACCTATATATTACTCTAGTATTTGCGAATACTAAACATTGAACTAAAATCATTTTATAGACTTACGATAATCTTTCAAGTCGCAGTTTCTTTTCTTCTGCGTTGTTTGCAGGTGTGGGTGGTGGAGCTGGGGTAGACGGGTTATTGAGGACTTGCCCATTGCTGCTAGATGCATTAAGCTGCTGCTGAAAGAGAACATATCTATTTTGTTACAGAAGTGGAGTACTACAGCAAATAAAAGAATGGGGAAGATCATTAAAAAAGGCAGATATATTATACAGCAATATGTAGTATTCTGGCACTGCACTTTGCAACAGACTAAATATTGTATGTTGTTTTATTTAAGCTTTATTTACCCTCTTCATAGAAGATATTTTAGAGTTATTCAGCTATAACAATTATAATCCATGATTTCATATACTATGGGGCAAAAAAGAACTGAATCTGCTAGTTGGATGAAAGAGTCTAAGGTGAGTGTGAAGGCAGTGGGTAGGTTATGAGAGGAGCTTATAACTGAAATGCTTAAAGTAGGCCAGGATTTAGTTCTAGTTGAGTTTGAATTACCAGAGCACTGGTAAGATGGGAAAGGAAGGAGGATGGGTAAGGATGGAAATATAGGAAAAGGGTGGGTGGGGGAGGTGAGGTGGGATAATAAAGGTAAGTGACCTAACCACTTCAGAGCATTTTAATACAAGTGTGTATGTGTGTGTGTGTGTAGTGTTACTCATGAATATAATTTCATAGGATGGGGTATACCCCACTACCCATCAACTCCACAGTTATACCAGCTGTATATTTGCATGTTGCTGAGTTGGAAGGAGGTATACTTCTTGCAATTGCTATTTTTTTTTTTGGCGCAAGAGGTTGGGTGTAGGGCGCTTGCTGAAGGTGGTGGTTGCAAGGCACTTGATGGAGTTTGGCTGCTTTCCTGGAGTTGATGGTTGGCTTAGCTGTTTCTGAGGTGGTGTCCTATATAGGATGTTTGTGAATGATACAAGGTTAATTGTAAGCCACAGATTGTTTGTTTTAGTATTTTTAAGGTATTTTACTTCTTTAACACACGCATGAAAGAAAAGATGATATGTACATGTACATCCTTGTGCATCCTTCTGCCATGACTGCCAGAATAATACTAAAGCTTTCTTTATAGTGGTAGCAAGTATATTAAGATTTTTTTAGCTGAATACAGTGGACCCTCTGCAAACGAATGCATCGCATAACGTTAAATCCACCTAAAGAAGCGTTTGAGCGTAAAAATTTTGGCCCACCTAATGATAAAAAACTCGCCCAACGTGATTCGTCTGGGACACGTCCACGTGTGGCCTGAGCATGCCTCAGCTGCCCTGTGGGTGCCAGTGTTTACAAGCCAGCCAGTGCAGTCGCATCTACGCATACATTCAGCACATTTCACATTATCCCAGTGTTTTTAGTGCCTATAACTGCAAAATAAGTCACCATGGGCCCCAAGAAAGCTTCTAGTGCCAACCCTGTGGTAAAACAGGTGAGAATTAGTATGGAAATGAAGAAAGAGATAATTGCAAAGTACCAAACCCCAATCGACCATCACTACTATCTTGGCCAACAAAACGGCAATCAAGGAAGCTGTTCTTGCAAAAGGTGCAAGTTCGTTTTTGAAACAGAGATCACAAGTACTCAAAGATGTCCTCAAGGCTAATTTGTGTGTGATGTGGAGGGCAGACAGTAAGGCATGGGTCACTAGGGACTTTTTCTATGACTGGTTTCACCATGTGTTTGCCCCCACTGTGAAAAATTACCTCCTGGAAAATAAATTGGACCTTAAGTGTCTCCTGGTATTAGACAATGCTCCTGGTCATCCTTCAGACTTGTAAGAACGAATTTCAGGGGACATGAGCTATATCAAAGTGAAGTTTTTGCCTCCTAATACCACTTCTCTCCTGCAGCCCATGGACCAGCTGGTCATTTCAAACTTCAAAAAACTCTACACAAAAGCTATGTTTCAAAAGTGCTTTGAAGTGACCTCAGACACTCGATTGACCTAAGAGAGTTTTGGAAAGATCACTTTAGTATCCTCAGTTGTGTAAACCTTATAGGTGAGGCTTGGGAGGGTGACTAAGAAGACCATGAACTCTGCTTGAAGAAAATTGTGGCCCGAACGTGTAGAAGAGAGGTATTTTGAAGGGTTTGGGGCTAACCCTGAGAAGCCTATGCCAGTTGTGGAATCTATTGTGGCATTGGGGAAGTCCTTGGGGTTGGAGGTTAGTGGGGAGGATGTGGAAGAGTTGGTGGAGGAGGACAATGAAGAACTAACCACTGATGAGCTGCAAGAGCATCTGCAACAGCAAGAGGCCAGACCTGAGGAAACTGCTTCAGAGGAGGGGGAGAGAGAAATCGAGGAAGTTGCCTATTTCAAAGATTAAGGAAGTGTGTGCAAAGTGGGTTGAACTGCAAACCTTTACGGATGAATTTTTTTTTTTTTTCATACTTTGGGGTGTCAGGAATGAATTAATTTGATTTCCATTATTTCTTATGGGAAAAATTAATTCAGCTAACGATAATTTCGTCTAACGATGAGCTCTCAGGAACGGATTAATATCATTAGCCAAGGGTCCACTGTATAAATGTTGGCTAAAAAGAGCCAAGATGCTAGCATGATATAAATTAAATTACATGACTATTTATTTAAAGGTTCCCTCTATGATTCATGTGTAATATTTGAACGACGTGTCATACTACATGCCAGAATTATGCCCACCCTTAGACCCTTAGGTTTTTCTTTTACAGACACAAGCAGTTGTCACCTAATCAGGTGATATGGTACTACAATATCAATTTCCTTGCTCTTATTACAATTTTTCAATTATTAGAACTGAGCCTGAGTGGCCATTTACCAAACTATTTTTGAAGCATATGTCCTATATCTTTTTAAAATCCTCTTCACTCCCTATTCATCTCATTAGCTTTGCACTATTTTCAAGCAGTAATACCATATACGTATAGGATTACATTTTCTCAGGCAGGTCAATGACATATCAAAATCTGGAGCATAAGACTTGAGAACTGGTCCATGGAAAATTCCACTAGTTACTATTCTCCGGGAGATGGGTTATAGATATGAAATGGTTGAAATAAACAAATGCAGAACAGAACTTTTACGGAGATTACATTTTTGTCTGTATAATGGGGTTTTTCAAGTCAACAGACTTGTGAAACTGATACATAGGCAAGGTGTCTATTTTGCTTGGAGAAAATGCTTGACATCTTACTTCTTATGACTTTTTCTGTCAATTAGGTACACATTTTATCCAGTAGAGTACCTCCTTTGTTTTCTAGCCTGCTTTTTTATTTGTAAATTAAAGATTTTTATGAAAGGCCTTCTAGCAGTTCATTCTTTCCTTGCCTGTCTTAATACTGCCATCCTGTTATACAACTTGAGTATATTACCCAGTTCTGCATGGAACTGTGGGATTTACGTTGGGCATGTCTTAATGGCAAAAATTTGAATGTAACTTAAGGATTACCTAGTTCATCCATCCTTTCTCCAATGTATTGTGATGTTGTAGTGACAATACCTGACCCTTGAGTAAACTAGCTGAGGGGTAAAGACTAATCAAAGATTAATGTAACGTATAACAGTGGCAAGGGGCTTTAAGTAAAATTAAGACATTTACATAAACACCAATACAGCTTTTCATTTGACAATTTTTTGAAAAATTTGAAATGTACGAATTTTAAGATCTTGCGTATATATTTTAATATAACATTCTTCAAACTGTGAATGTGAACAAGCTTGTCTAAGCTATTCTTTCTTCACATGTACCATAGATAACCCTATTGAATGCAAACCAAATGCTGTTCTATATACTGTACTGCAATATAGACATTGCATAATAATGCACAAGATTCCAAACTGCTATATTCTTTCCCCCAGTCTACAATGTCCACCAATGCTGACCCTTGGAATCATGAAACAGAATTGTTATGGTCTTTACATTCTTCCCAGAGTGGTGAGCATGTCTGTCCAAATAGCTGACATGTAATCCTCAGTTGTTGGAACATTCAAGTTCACTACCTCTGCAAATTATTTTAACCTAATTGCAGTAAATGCTGTAAATTTTTGTTAAATGCTATGAAGCATACATGTTTATATTGCTTATAAATGTTAATGGTATTAATTCTGTTTTTCTTTACTCAGTTACATTTTAAGTTCTGGCACCAGAGAGTGCATTGTTAAGAAATAATGGAATATACTCACGCTGGGTGTATCAAACTGTGACTTGTCTGTGTTGTTCTTGGTGTTGGCTGTATCATCCTTGCTGGTGGAGACTACAATGTGTGGGGTGGTGGGTGTTGCTGGGGCATTGCTGCTTCCAGGAACCTCCTCACTTGCCTGTCCTCCATGGACACCTACCCATCTGCAACATGAAACTGTGCACAAAATTCCATAACACTGTAAAAATACACTAATGCCCTCCTTTTTAAGCTACCATTAAATATCCATTCAAAAATATTTAATATATAAAAAACATGATTAATCTCTTGAAAGGTTTTTATGCATGTGTTAGCCGAAGTTCGGAGAGGAACAGTCATTTACTTTTACCCCAGCAAATATAAAAAAAAAATGCCAAAACAAAGGGTTGATGAGAACAAACGTCCCAGAGGAAGAAAGCAGAAAATTGGTCATATGCTCAAGGCTGGAGTAGAGCAAGACATCCCCAGGTCTTAAAACCAGCAGAACCAGACACCACTCCCCAAACCATTCTCTTCATCACAGGTAGCATTTGACTATACAAAACAAAACAAAAGTTTATTTCTTTGCAAAGGCTACACTGTGTGTTAACATCTCATAATTTGGTACAAAGAAAGCCACCATCATGCCAAGGCATTTCAAGCAGATTTAACCTAATAGTACACTTAAAGACTACTTAAGTTTACACAAACTTCAAATATTCAATACATATTTTACTCTATTATTAATATGAGGTAGTACAATTAATTATAATAACATAAATTTTTAGGTGTGTAATAGTGGTTTAATAGAAAAGGGGTAATAAAATATTTGGGAGAGTTGCTTCAAATGTGGTTCGAGATTAACACAGTGTGGGTATGACTATTATTGAGAAATGAGATAATTTTTAAGTATAGTCCTAAATTGATTTGCAGGTTCAGGCAAAGAGTTCCAGATTTTTGGGCCTTTTATGTGCATAAAAACTGTCAAATGGTAGACTGATGAAAGATCTTAAGCAGTCCAAATCTCAGTTTTTCTTCCTCACTCAGGAGGGGGGGGAGTAAGCATTACACCCACACATGAACAACCATCCTGCATGATTATAACGGATATGTTTGGGAAATATTGCTCATGCTCCAAGCTTGTAATATCATACAGAATTAGGGAAGTCATACATTGCCATTGTGCTATTTTTTTGCTAATAAAAGCTTATCTATGTAAGTATTCTTTTATGAATTATCTTGAAGAGCTGTAACAATTAAATGAAATACAGTGGACCCCCGCCTTACGAACGCATCGCGTTACATTACATCCGCCATACGAAGCATTTGAATGCAAAAATTTTGCTTCGCCTCACAATAAAAAAACTCGCCTTACGTGATTCATCCGGGACATGTCCCACGTGTAGCCTCAGCGCCAGTGTTTACAAGCCAGCCAGTGAGGTCGCATCTACGCACACATTCAGTACATTTCACATTATCCCAGTATTTTTAGTGCTTGTAACTGCAAAATAAGTCACCATGGACCCCAAGAAAGTTTCTAGTGCCATCCCTGTGGTAAAAAGGATGAGAATTAGTATGGAATTGAAAAAAAAAGATTAAGGAAATGTGTGCAAAGTGGGTTGAACTGTAAACCTTTATGGATGAAAATCACCCTGACACAGCTACTGCAAGCCGTGTTGGCAACCTGTACAATGACAATGTTATGGACCATTTTAGGAAAGTCTTAAAGGACAGGAGGTACAGAGCTCTATGGACAGATTTGTTGTGTGACAGAGGTCCAGTGACTCAAGCTGGTCCTAGTGGCATTAAAAGAAGACGGGAAGTAACCCCGGAAAAGGATTTGCTACCTTTAGTCCTAATGGAAGGGGATTCCCCTTCTAAACAATAATTTCCACACTCTCCCCTCCTCCCATCCCATCAATCATCACCAAATCTTCAGTAAAGGTAAGTGTCATGTATTCTATTCTTAGTAGAGTAGTAATTGTGCATGTCTTCTTCAGTTTGTGTGTATTAAAATTAATATTTCATGGGGTAAAAAATTTTTTTTTTTCATACTTTGGGGTGTCAGGAATGGATTAATTTGATTTCCATTATTTCTTATGGGGAAAATTAATTCGGCTAACGATAATTTCGGCTTACGATGAGCTCTCAGGAACGGATTAATATCGTAAGGTGGGTGTCCACTGTACTAATATAACAGGTGTTGCAAGTGTCACACATGTCTCCAGTGTTGAGAGCAATACGTGTTTCCCAAGTCCCAGGTTTCACCAGGAATGTACTGTATATGTAATGGGTGTGGGAGGAAGATGTCATGAATGAGAGTACAGTAGACCGTCATTTAACACAGTTTTATCTTGCACGTTTTGGTTATAGCACGATTGAAGAATTATGGCATATTTTTATTTAACACTTTGTAAAATTAGTTTAACACGGTTGCAGGAGGGGAAAAAATTTTGAGCATGCGGTCGCTCGCGGGGCGTGATGGGCTACAGCCATCCCCTGCCAGCATCAGCCACCCCCACCACCCTCCCAACCTTCAGTTCCATTCATACGTGTCTTGGACGAACCTGTGCCAATAGCTCACTGTGTTTGTTTAGATACGTATTAACTGCCATATCTTAAATCTGCAAAGCAATCATGGCACCCAGCAGGCATACAAGTATTGCTGAAAGTGGCAAGAAAAGGTTTAAGTCTTAGATTTAACAAAGAAAATAGAGATATTAGACAAGAGATAGCCTGTAGCCGGAATGAAGCGTCATTTTGTACACAAAAAGAATGAGGTAATTATGAGTTTTTTGTGATGACTTGACTGAGTGACTTACTGAATTGACTGAGTGACTTACTGAATTGACTGAGTGACTTGACTGATTTATGCACACTCCAGTACAACCACTGACTTCAGTACCAGAACCTCTACCATCCACCTCAGCCCAGTAGGGCCATAGCATAACTCCACTCTCTTCTCAATCATTGACAAACACCAGCACCCACAATTTAAGGTAAGAAATACTATTATTTATGTTGCATTTGTAGTCTTAAGCAGTAAAAACAACATAATACATCACAACAATGAACTACAATTACATATTCCTTTTATTTTTGTAAGATCTGGAGCTCTAAAAAAAAAAGTTGTTTGGCTTTTTTTTTTTGGGGGGGGGGGGAGCTCCCAGGAACGTAACACTAATTTTCTCATACGTTCTTCAGTTTGTCTAACACAGCGTTTTCAGGAACGTAACTACCGTGTTAAATGACGGTCTACTGCACTTTGAGGGAGAGAGGGAGGTGTTGTGGGTGAGGAAGGGAGGGTGGTGTTGTGGATGAGGGAGTTACGAACTTATTGTGGAGAGTTACGAACTTATTGTGGATGAGGGAGGGAGAGAGGTAAGTGTTGTGGGTGAGGGAGGGAGGGTGTTGTGGATGAGGGAGGTATGAAAGTATTGTGGATGAGGGAGGGAGAGAGGCAAGTGTTGTGGGTGAGGGAGGGTGTTGTGGATGAGGGAGGGAGGGTGGTGTTGTAGATGAGGGAGGTATGAAAGTATTGTGGATGAGGGAGGGAGAGAGGTAAGTGTTGTGGGTGAGGGAGGGAGGGTGTTGTGGACGAGGGATGGAGGGAGGGTGGTGTTGTAGATGAGGGAGGTACGAAAGTATTGTGGATGAGGGAGAGAGGTGTTTTGGATGAGGAACTACAGGAGTGTTGTGGGTGAGGAAGGAAAAATTACTATATTTAGGAGGGAAACGCTAAACCCTTATGGGTTATACAGCATCTGGGGAATGGGATGTATTCAGGTTCGATCCATGCTAGAAGAGAACAATTCTCATTCCTTTGATCAAAAGCTTCTCATAGGCTTCAAGGAACCTTTCTTGAGGGCAGGGATGGTCCTTGGAAAGAGGGAGATGTTGGGGTAAGAGAGGGAAATATGTGAGTGTGGGAAGAGAAGGAAATGTGGGTGAAGGAGGGAGAAGTGCTGTGGGTGAGGAAGGGAGAAGTGCTGTGGGTGAGGAAGGGAGAAGTGCTGTGGGTGAGGAAGGGAGAAGTGCTGTGGGTGAGGAAGGGAGAAGTGCTGTGGGTGAGGGAGGGAGAAGTGCTGTGGGTGAGGGAGGGAGAAGTGCTGTGGGTGAGGAAGGGAGAAGTGCTGTGGGTGAGGAAGGGAGAAGTGCTGTGGGTGAGGGAGGGAGAAGTGCTGTGGGTGAGGGAGGGAGAAGTGCTGTGGGTGAGGAAGGGAGAAGTGCTGTGGGTGAGGAAGGGAGAAGTGCTGTGGGTGAGGAAGGGAGAAGTGCTGTGGGTGAGGAAGGGAGAAGTGCTGTGGGTGAGGGAGGGAGAAGTGCTGTGGGTGAGGAAGGGAGAAGTGCTGTGGGTGAGGGAGGGAGAAGTGCTGTGGGTGAGGGAGGGAGAAGTGCTGTGGGTGAGGGAGGGAGAAGTGCTGTGGGTGAGGGAGGGAGAAGTGCTGTGGGTGAGGGAGGGAGAAGTGCTGTGGGTGAGGGAGGGAGAAGTGCTGTGGGTGAAGGAGGGAGAAGTGCTGTGGGTGAAGGAGGGAGAAGTGCTGTGGGTGAAGGAGGGAGAAGTGCTGTGGGTGAGGGAGGGTGAAGGGCTGTGGGTGAGGGAGGGAGATGATATACCCTCCCTGACTCCCGTCAGCCACACACTCAGGCAGGACGTTGTTGATCACATTATCACTCTTGACACTATCATTACACCAACACAAATTACTTCCATCGTAGAGGGGTCGACCTGGTTCATCCGTCCACTTCACAGTGCTTCCTAATTAATCTCCACATATCCATACAATGAATGAGTTAATAAATTCTACGAAGATGCACATCGTTAAATGGACTGCATTTAACAGGCACTTCATTAAATGGATTACAAAAGAGCGCCTCAGTTTTACTTTAATTTTTTTCATACATATTTATCGCCTTGACTTACACATTACGGTTATACTGCTTAGTACTGAGAGGCAGCGCTGACAGAATGATTTATATAATATTACCACATTAAGAGGGCCGAAAAAATCATTAACCAATATTAAACCAAATATGTACTTAAGAGTCACAATATATCAGAGTCCAATATACAGTATTACGAAGCTGTCAACTGACACAAAGTCCAGTTTTTTAGCTTTAAGCTAATTAGCTGCAATTGAGTCTGCATATTACCAGTACACTGGTAATATGCAGTGTACTGGTAATATGCAGTTCATCATAGTGTGTCTACGGGACACACGGTGGTTTGTGTAACAGTTGTTCCCCTCGCTGCCAAGTAGGGATAACAGCTCTTTTCCATCATGCTAGATTGCCATGTGTCATATCTGCTACATCTTTAGTAGCTCAGCTGGTCAGCAGTAGCAGTGGTAATCGAATATGCATATTAAAAAGATAATCTTATCTGCTACTTGGAGAGCTGCAGCAGAAATACAGCTCTCCAAGAAAAAAAATAGCACTAAGTTATTACTTGTATCGAGTGCCCTGTTATATATGCCCAGTAGTTAGCGTGGGTACCGTGTTTGGAACCCGACTGATTTATTCTAATAACACATTCTTGTTGAGTTACGATGTACGTGGATGATTCCTGTTGTAAATTCCCAGGCATGTACCATAAGTGAGGTACAGAGTAATTAGTACGGAGGTTGCTCAGACGCTCCACCTTAAGGGTCAGTCTTGGAATTTCGGCATGGATCACTCAGGAGAGGCTAAAGTGGAAGGGGCAGAGTTTTGCAGCACAACAGGATCACAAGACCCCACCCTTTGAACTTCCAAATAAAGCTAACTTGCAGGCTTGCCCACCAAACGAGTTTCCGAACAATCCATCCATATGAATTAAGATGCCAAAAAAAAAGTGAAGTCAGTGGTGCAGGACACCTCCAGAGACAAGATGCTAAAGTAACCGAGGAACCTCTATCCTCAGAGTACATGATAGTGCTCATGTTAGTGCAAAGATGATCAAGTGTCCACCAATCCAGACAACCATGCAACACAAGTCCACGCTGGAGGGCAATCATTCTGATGGGTGGAGTCCACAACTCCTACATAGTTGCAGTATTGTATCACCCACACTGGGTTGGTGCTTGTTTCTGACAATAATGTATCCCACACTAAACCTAAGACTGTGACAGCAGCTTCTATCCACTATTAGGTGATTAAGAGGTTTGCGTCGATGCGTGTTACGTCTAGATTCTAGACGCAATAAGAGGAAGGAGGGTCGAGCCTCCACCACTTTCTAAGGTGCATGTCCGCGTGCTTCATGAAACACAGTACTAGGTGACTACAGGAGAGGACCCAGACAATAACACAACTTTCATTTCAACTACTATCATGTAGTTTGTTACACAGATATGACCGGGCAACACCTCATTTGACTAGAACTCTGTTTTGACAAATTTATTTTTAACTGGTTTTCAAAAAAAAAAAAAAAAAAAAAAAAAAAAAAAAAAAAAAAAAGACAATATAAAAGCCACGGGAATCACTAGCCAAATTTTGGATTAAGTTAGGATGAGTACAGGGGTGTCAGACCATCATATATAAAATCTTAAACCTATAAATTTTGCATTTAAATATTCCACCGGTGAGCGCTCTTGATCCAAGGAATTGGACCTGACCTCCTCTACCTTGGATCAAACCTGACTGACGCCCATTCCTACAAGCACCGTATGATTTCTACCGCTTGAACGCCTACCCATGAATGTAATAATAATAATAATAATAATAATAATATTGAAATATCTAAAATTACTCACGCCTTACGTGTAGATATTAAATATAAAACAACTAAACTTGCCCAGGTTTAATGGAAAAAGCATAAGTGGCTCAAAATCTGGAAAAATTGCTTCTCGATAAGGACATTGCAAGGCAAGAGTGCCTTGATGTTCCTGAAGTTCTCTTGCCTTGGACCAAACCTGGTTACTTCCCAATCCTTAGGCGCTGTATGACGATTGCAGGTTTATCGCTTCCCCGTCATTGTAATAAACAAAGACCATTGCCTTCAACATTCTTCGGTTATATGTAAACTTACCAGCACACTTTTGTTTCGAAGTTTAAGTGGTGAACCCAACCCGTGATCAAGGTGGCTGTTGAGCTGGTAGGTGGTTGTCTTGGTCGGAGCAGACAAATATTTTAGGCCCGTTATAAATAAGAGGGATTACCAACAGACCCGTGGCTGTCAAGAACTGGACAAGTTTCTCAAGTCAGACACTGTTCAGTCGGGCTATGGTGCCCATGCTGGCCACCAGGCGGCTAGCCTGATTGATCAGGTCATCCATCGAGAGGCCTGATCTGAGACGAGGCGCAAGGTATGTAGAACTATCTCGTAATTAATAATTTTTTCGCGGGTAGACATCAAAAAATATTTACTATTATTATTATTATTATTATTATAATCAAGGGGGAAGCGCTAAACCTGGAGGATTATACAGCACCTGGGGGGGGGGGATGTGGAAGGCATTCAGGCTTAATTCGGGGAACTGGAGCACAGATCCAATTCCCTAAATCAAGAGCCCCTCACCAACATCAAGCAACCTTCCTTGAGGGGAAAAGATTTACTAAACATATGGAATGGAGGGAGACGGCAAACCAGGTAGAGGGATGATTGGGAGAGAGGAAACGGTGGAGGAAGGAACAAGGGAGGAAGAGGAGTCAGGTGAGAGTACACGGGAAAAAAACGTCAGCATAATACTTTAGGGGGTCTATTCAATATAAAGGTTTTGTTGTGAACACCAGACTACTTTCATTGATACTACTACAACTACTATTTGAATAGATGAAGTCAGCGGTCTAGGTAGCAAGTTGACAGGCTGCAACTATCCAGGCAAGTACTACATACCACCTTGTCATGATTATGAAACTGAAGTTTGTTATTATTATTATAATCAAAAAGAAGCGCTAAGCCACAAGGGCTATACAGCTGAAGTTTGTTAGATTTTAGATTTTGCCACCGAAGTGGCTAGGTTATTGTGCACCCCATATCCATCCTGTGGACGGTAGCGCAAGAGCGTATGAATACACAACAGGCCTAGGAACTAGGCCCCAAAAGGGTTAACAGGTGTACAATTGGATTTATATCTACAGTTCACTTATGTTACAAGCAAATTTAGGAAATTTGCCTGTAACATAAGTATATCTGGTATCTCATTTTCATTAATAAGATATCTTGATATGTCACACAGGTTATTATTCTATCTGTCTATTTCTCAAGTGGAGAATTAAGCACGTAATTTTCAAGACAGTGACCATACGCCTGACTACTTAATTTGCATTTGGTTTGATTATCATGTGTGTCTCTCCCAAACTGCCAGGAGTACTTGTAACCAAGCCTAAGCCTGGTCACTACAACATCAGTCTGTTCACATTGCAAGTTGCTCCATAAACATACTTATCTACGTTCATGTTATCATAGTGGGTTATAGATCTACTCAGGCTTCTAACTGCATTCCTATAACATTCATTTTCATTATTTACTTCTCTCCTAATATTATTCCTAATGCTAAACACAGACATACCAAAGTTATATTCTACATTCTCCTTCCGAGTGCTTTTCTTGGCTAACATATCAACTTTATCGTGAAGGAGTAATCCAATGTGTGATGGGATCCATAGCAATTGTACATTAATTCTTTTTCCCCCCGGATTTTTTAGTATCTATATCTGGCTTCTCCAGTGAGCATGTTGTTGGAGTCATTATATGAGTGAAGAACCCTCATGATGACAGAGTCGAGCTCAGTGTCACAAGTTAGCTTTAGCGCCATCAGGATTGCAAACAATTCAGTTTGCAATCCTAATGGCCCAGTTGTTAATTTTTATGCCTAACTCAACACATTTATTATCGTTCTTAACTAGGAAGGTGGCAACAAGAGCAGATGCAACCCTGCCAGAAGACTCCTGTTTAGATCCATCAGTGTATAAGCATGTTAAATGTTATGCATTCTGACAGAATTCCGGTAAAAAGGTAGGAAAATCTTAAGTTTTACTGACATTCAGTATACACTAATCTTTCCTGTCTGGTGTTTTTCTTTAATAGTTATTAATATATTTCCTCTCTAATCTTGTTGGCCTGGTCTGAGGCCAAGTCACGTGGGCGATGATCCCGGAACCGGTAACAAATACAGTGCAGAAAAGGGGAAGGCTCTCTTCTCAATTTTCACTCCCTCTAACTTGCCTGCTGCTAAGACAACATAAATCCATTACAGAGACGAAAAACACAGGAATAATAAACACGGAATATGCAACTTTGCAAACAAAAGGATGAGTTTCAAAGACCCCAAGACAATTTTTTTTTTTTAGTCAGTTACTTGACGGAAGTTTTTGCCCAAGATAAATTACCATTCCTCAAGATGAGAAAAAATTATTATGCAGGATTGATAAGGTAAAGCTATGAGGATGGAGGATATGTTGCTGAGGGAAGGGCACCGCCTTCTGGAACTTGTTCTCCAACGCTAGAAAAAATTATCCTACACGTGTACACTCCATGATCTTCCCAGCTGTAAAGATGCACCGTTGTTGCCGACCCTTTCATACACCAATCGTTTTGAGGACGTCATTTTTTATATGAATATTCCTTTATTAAGTTCAAATATTATATTGCTATATGAAAGTCCACACTGTCTTGCTGTTAGTGACGAGTAAAAGCCATTATACCCCGGTTAGAACAACTCACAGTTAACACCAACTGGAAACAACACGTGTCATCCTTGATTAAATCAGCTGTATTTGTCACGGCCGCTTTCAAGGACAACGTTCAACATTTCTGTCTCTTAAAATTTAATCTTATAAAATAGCTTTTGTATACAACCAGTCTCTGTAAATTTCTCTTTTCATGGGAAAACCTTAAAACTAGTATTTATCAAATCTTCCAGTGGGTCACTGACGACAATATGATATTCAATGAGAACAAATTTCAGTTATTCCACTACAGAAAACTTTCAAGGATCACAACAGTGTCATTATCACAACCACAAGAAAAAATGATATGCTGGATAACTAGAACCTTCAAAACAAGAGATGCCAAGCCAATGATGATTCTCTATACGGTTTCTCTAGATAAAAATATTGCTGTACTCTAACAGCCCCATTTTTAAGCAGGCAAAACTGCAGCTCTGGAAAATACGCAGATAACCTTTTCTGTTCATATATAATATCAGTCAAGCATCTAAATTATTGGGAATGCTTGAAGGCAAGGATTGCTTACAATTAACACCTGAAAAAAATTCTAGAGGGACTGATCCCAAATCTG